TAAATCCAAACTCAGCACATCACAGCATGCCTCATCGCGACTGTCAAGCACGATGATGTAGACACTTTGTGGTCACTGAATTAACCATAAATTCCTCTGTGTACCACAACAGTTCCAGAGTAGATCGAGGTGATTTGACAACTGTACTGACTTGTAACAAGATTTTAAATCCCACCTAAGTAGGCATATTTTTTTCTTAATTCTTAAAGTTTAATTTTACCTTGGTGTGTAGTGCCCTCGTTCCTGTGGGGTGTCTCAGCATGTTTAAGCTGAATTTAGACCAAAATACTCAATTTTGCTCTACATGGGCCTGATATCCACTTACGAGGACATTATACTGCTACTGATCTACCAAAATTTTAAACGAATATCCTCCTATGTGGCTCTTATTTTTCTTGAAAACAAAAATAAGGTAAAAAAAATAATAAATCTGGTAATTCTTTGTTTTTACATTCATCTGGCTCCAATATGCCCAAATATCAAAGAGAAATTAAAAATGCACACCATGGAAGAGTTCGGGTCTTAGGAGGTTAAACTAAAATTATTTTCAGACTTCTCTGGGATTGTTTTATATTATTATTATGTGCTATTATATTATTTCTATGCTTAAATTTATAAAGACATGTTTAGATTTCACTGATATCGCACAGTAATGCCTATATTATTAGCAGAGAGTATTTCAGTGCGCATCAACATTTAAACTTCAAAACATCTTCTGCTCTATAGGCTACTTAACAAATTATGTACATATACATGTTTTATAACCACTTTTTTATTTATGTATATTCATTCTGCAGGTTTGAGTTTGAGTTATGGCGGGTCAAACCCTATTGTTTTTGCTGCTTTTGGTGATTATAGGTGAGTATTAAATAAAATCAGCCTAATGATTTATTGTTGTTGTATTGATTAACGATGTGAGGATTCTCAGATTTGTATTCAAACACGTGCTTATTGTGATAGGTCATGTGAGTCCTCAGACAACAAGTAAGTGAAAGCTTTGATCACCTCTCTATAATTTATTAACATTCGCTTGGAGATCTATCTACTATCAAATAATATAAATAGTTAATCGATAATACTTTGAGATTATACCAGTCGATAACAACAAAGACTACTTTGACAACTACTATAATCACTGTTTCCTAATTAAGTAGTTTTAAACTCATGATTTATGTATGTGAACTTGTATGTTTGTATTCATTTATATTTTTTATCACAGGTGTGACACCAGGTGAGTCAACATACTTCTTTAATTAAAACTCAAGTTACTGAGTGCATACTTACAATATTGAGTAGCCTTAAATGTAATTCTTTCAAATGTATATATGTATTTATGTATCTATGTACTTATTTATCTGTCTGTTGTAGCAGGTCCTGTGACATCAGGTGAGTTAATATACTTCTTTAAATTATAACTTAAGTGAGCTTATTGCATTGTTGATTCCAACAATAAGCGCCTTTAGAGGGAATCTTGTGTATTAGACACATATAGTGTCTTTACTTATTATTAGTATCAACTATATTACATTATATTTATATTATATAGCTGCCACAAGACAAGCATGTAAAAAGAAGTGAACAGAAAACACTAACAGTAATCCAAACTTTTTCCTCTGGCATCAAAATTTTAGCTGCACATTATTATAATATAAGAGTTATCTCATCAGGTGGCTTTTTAGAATAATCAGATCTGAATTCAGTCTGAGGCCACCACCTCCTTGTTGGCTGTTGTTTTTTAGTTCTATGGTGTATTGTTTTTGTGTTCTGATTCATTCTTCCTGCTATGACAGGCCAAAATGCTTTCAAAAGGATTTATTCTGGTTCTTCATGCTGTACAACCCCAATTCCAAAATAAAGTAATGGAATTGGAATCTAAACAACGATTTGCAAAGTGTTCCTTCATTTTTCCCCTTTTTAGAATCACAGCTTTTATAAGATTTGTTGCTTCCATCAAATTTGAAATGAACCAATATATTTTTTAATGGTACAGTTCTAAGTTCAAACTGTTTGTGTGTTTAATTTCAAATACATTGAAGTTTCTGAGATTTGCAAATAACTTCAATGTGTTTTTAGTTACCTTTTTGACAGTAACTTTTTTGGAATTGGGGTTGTATTTATTAAGAAAGCAATCTGTAGGATACAGTGTTTGAAATGCAGCATAATG